GGTGTTGGTGGTTTGGGGGGGGGGGGGTGTGAAAGTGTGCATTTATGTGTGTTCATGAAAGACAGACAGAAGAAAGGGAGGGAGCGAGAGAGAGAGAGAGAGCAAGATGTCGATCAACACTGGCACCACAACAAAACTTTCATTACAGGATTTGACTGACCTCTTTGTTGTGGAAATACACAACCATGGTGGCTCTTTCACCTAATAATGTACCTGATTCTTAAATTCCCAGCACCAGTTTACAAATATCGACACAGTTTTACCACAAGTTCATACACTGGAGCATTGGCATTCTTCAAGAGACTTTGAAGAACTTTCAGATAACTACAACAACTGTCACTCAAGTATAGAGGATAGGTTTTCTTTCTGAGATTACTCTACATGTTGTTTTTCCTTCTTTGTCTCCAAACAGAGAGTTTTTCTTTGCTGCTGTCACCATGTGCTTGTCTTTATGAAGCAGATTTCAAAACATTTTCTTTAAGTCATTCAAGTCAGTTCAGTTCAAGTTACTGTCATAAAATGAACATTTCATAAAATCTATTTCTGAGTGACAAGGATATTCCACATGAAAATGTAGGGCAGGATTTGATGTTAACCATGAGAAACAGAGTGAATGGAGAAAAGTGGTCTTTATATGACAGCTGATTGGAGGGGAGTGGTTGGGCTTGGTGATGTCAGTCAAAAAGAAAAGCCACTTTGGAGGCGCAGGACGTTAATACAATTCGAAATATTTTTTTTCTTTTCTTTCCTTGGAATAACATTAAAATTAGGGCTGGGCAAGTTAACGCGTTATTGTCGCATTAATGCATTAATTGATTAACGCAGACAATTATTTTATTGCGCGTTAACGTAGTTTTTTATTATTATGAAAGTCCGATGCTCACTGGCTCTGAATACACATACATACACATACAAACATACAAACCATGGGTCACAGGAGGGGTGGGGTTTGATCAGTAGGCTACTGGCTTGGGATGGGTGCCATCACGCGTCTCAACCAACGAGAGAGCATATGGGGTGGGCCTAAGACTGCAGCAGCGCTCACATGAAGCGCTAACGACTTCATAAGTGGGAAACAGGAAGTTTCTGATAGCACGTGAAGACAGCAGAGAATAAGTGCTCTCGCTCAACACAGTGGAGTGCATCGTTTTGTTAACTTTGTGGTTTATTATTTTGAGTCGATGGGGATGCAGTAACACACAGCGCCTTTCACAATATATTGCTTTACAGGTCTATCACTTTTGCCGCTCAGAAATGTTCACGCAATCATTCTGCGTGTATCAGAAGCACTCACACTCACTGATCTATATATAACTGAACCGCGCTCTGGCCCACTTCCAACCGAGCGTGGCACGGAGTGATCAC